GTCCAGAAGGACCGGTTAATTGGTGCATGTTACTGGGTGGTTGATTTTCACTAGCAGCTGTAACTCGAACTACTTCCACAATGCTTCCATACTCACATAGATGGGGGGTTGGAGTGGGGGGAATTTTTTTCCGATTTTGATGCTGCTTTGGCAAGTTCTTCTTTTTTTGTCGTGGTTTGGCAAATTTTGCGCACTTTTTATTAATTGGCAAACTTCACAATTTTGTTTTTCCCGGAATATGAAATGAGGATGGGTTTTTGAGGAGTAATTGTGAGAGTCGGTACGGGTAGACTTAAGGATCCATAGAAAGTAACTATGTGATACCGAATCGAAAGCCTTTAGGATGTCGACCCAAGCCATGCTCAGGGGTTTTTTCAACTGCGACATTGTGTCCAGCACCACCGCACGATCTAGAATGTGGCTACTACTGGTACCGCCGTAAAGTATCACAATCAGCACCTCATCTTGGGAGTAGCGATTCATTTAAATGTACTTTTTTCTCTATTACAGGCAGCAGCAAGATCACCGTACAGCAGTTTGATCTCTCTGCCACTCATTGGGTACATACTGAAGGAGTCAGCGTAAGTTTTCCCGTTAACATGTATAAAATGGAATTTTTGCAAACTTTTTTTTTGACATCTTAAAGTCAAAAAATCAATTTTCTTTTTTTAGATTTCAGTTCTTTTGAGCGAAATCCCGTGTGAAGTTTTTTTTTTCCTTTGTAAAAATTGAAGAACCATAGTTTGGTTTATGAAATTTCACTCTGTGTGCAGATTAGGGGCGAAAATAATGAGAAAATTAGAATTTGTGTTTTTTTTTTGAGAAATTAGAATTGGTGGTTTTTACTTAGCTGAAGAACGGCTCATCGAAGTATTTTAGTACTTTTCAAAAATATTAAAGTGACAGACGGCAGTCGTTTTGGGTAAATGGTATTGCTGGGGATGATGCACCACATGTCCGGGCACTGGCCCAGGCCAGGTTTTTCGATTCCGACCCCTATTCCTCCTGTTACTCCCCCCTCTACTGCCTCCTGTTCGATATGTTTGAACATCTTTAGAGGAAAAGTGAGAAAACAGACCGAGCTAAGTGAGAAGCCAAGTGAAATAATTCACTTTCGATGAATCAGAAACGGCAAAAAAAGGGTAGGGCGAATCGATGATGGTACAACGTACCGCGATGATTGTCTGGTCTGGAAATCAAAATCATTGGTTGTATGGCATGCGATTTTTGAGAATTATATGCGTTTCTGCTGCACATCCGTTAGTTTCCTGCTCCATTTTTGCAGCTTTCTGGTCGAAATGGTCGGGAGGAAGAAGAGAAGCACCAGTACAAGGAACCACTTCAACGATGTTAGACTTTCCACATGCATTTCTTCCTCCCCGTCTCATATACATATTGTTTTATTGTGAATGCAGCTGCGCCAAGTGCGGTCTTCTCTAGCTTTTCATGCATATTTTATGCCCTATTAACAGTTGCATAAAATGCATTATTGTCAGTCTGTGTGTATGTGTGTGTGTGTGTGTGTGTGTGTGTACGCGTGTGTGTACGTGTGTATGTCCGAGTGCGTTGTACCTCCGTTTTTTCATCTCGGGAACCATAAAAA